TACACATTTCGTGTTGAATTTACGCGAGAATATTTGTTATCATGATTATTATTGCTTATTTATTTATTCATTGTTCCCTTGGGCTAGACAGTGGAACATCAGACTTAAACAGCACATCTCCATTGAATCTTATTCTCTCACGTTCTCTTCAGCTGCCCCAACGACATCACATCGTGTCTCATCTCCTCCTCACACGACCTCAACCATGTCACACTGGGACTGATGACCAACTCGTCCTTCCTCATTCCAATTGCATACAAGCGATGGCGTGGCGTGAGATGTCACTCAACTGTTTCCTGAGTTCATCCTTAGTTGGTTCGACCTCAGAGTTTCGTGATGATAATCCTTTCTGCACGATCATTTGATCTTCAGTGTGGAGACAGCGAAGGCAGCCGTTGAAAGACGTCCGCAGCAGACTTTTCACAACATTCTCAGAGCATGTCTGTGAGACAGCACATTTTCCCTGACATTATTACTATCACCCATCTGGACAAAAGCTGTTGCCTATGGAGAAGAATCAACGCTGTCTTACTAGATCGTGTACGGTGACTGCTGATGGCACATTGAGTCAAATGCTTACCACATTCAATCGTGTTGACTCAACCTCCGATTCGTTGAATTCATTTTGAAGCATAAAATGCTTCGATTCATGCAGCAATATGGGAGATCGTGCACGTTTACAAACAGAACATGAATTTATCGAAAAGGATATTCTTTGCTCAATTATTTTTTGTTTTACAGAACATGAACTGTCTTAACCGGTAATTCGACAATCTCATGAAAAATATATCCGGAGAATGTCGAAACATGAGTTCTAGTTCTGAATCGTTCTGAAGTTCCCCTACCGAAACCTCAGTCAGAATCAGTAAATATTACTGTATAACACTGTGAGACTCTATCAAAATAAAAATTTACCCATAATGGAATTACAGAATCACTATCCTTAGGATTTCTACTTCACGTCCAAATTAAACTGTAACTCTATCAAATAAAATTACCATATGAATTACAGAATCACTATCCTTAGGATTTCTACTTCACGTCCCTGATGATAAAGTGGCGTCAATCGACGTTGAAATTCAGTTTGACAATCTGTTCAGTCGAGTCTATGAGTTAAAACCGATATGCAGCGATGAAGGAGGCTGACATTTGGCCAGCTTCGGACACAGCAAACCATCACGCTATTAGCCTAGAGTCACACAGCAATTCATTGCTGGAGGTGTGCCAGAAAGCCATCAGTGAGTTGAAAGGGAGCCATCAGATTGTCTCAATGAGACCTGATGAAGGTTCCGTTGCTAGACAAACCAAACTATGTTTGGAAATTGGTCGGCCTATTGAGTGGAAACAAGCACTTCTTCGCTGAATGGAATAGTCGAGACGTGATACATAATGCTGTAAAGAACATCGATAAAGACCTCAGTCATCAGTATCAGCAAAGTCTAATCGTTAAAAATCTCTGTCGGGCATTGAGGTCTCGAGCATCATGTTTACCATGAATGTTCTGCTTCTGAAGAATTCACAAACCTCGAACGGCTTTACGGACTGCATGGACCTTGTCGAACACTACATTCCACGAATCGCCAGAGCACCTTGCACAACTGACTCGACATATCAGAGAGAAATATGCTCTGCACACACTGAAAGGCACCTCAGAATTTGTTACTGACATCCACGATATCAATGAAAGAAAGGAAAATATGGTTTCAAATTATATTCTGTCCATATTTACAAACACGACACGGAAAGCGAAAATTGACATCAGATGTCGACGTGGTTACAACAAATCATCCCTTAAAAATTGAAATCTTGAGTAATTGTCATGCATTGAAATGTAAAATTGGAAAATCATATTGCATAGTCAAATCAACAAATACAGACAATCACAAAACAAGATAAGCGAAACACGCTAAGATGAATAGAAGTTTGGAGAAAAAATTTCGAGTAGCACACTTCACATATTCCGAAGTAAATTAATAATCCAGATTTGAAGTAGTATCAACGGATGACAGGAATATTGTACAGGTTGAGAAAGACATCGAGATCAACAGATCCAAGAGAGAATGTTGACGCTCAGTGATGATGAGTAATCGTGCATACTGTTGACAAGAGATAAGGAGAATTTGTTCGTTGACCATATTCTTCATTCTACACTAATGCAGTCGAATCCTCCCAGGATAGACAAGGCGAAGCGAAAGTAATATCAGGGTAGTGGCGATGGAGATGCAAAGCATCACCGACTGTCCAATGCACATATCCAGCCGGCGAACATTGTAATCACGAACTCGTATGATGATAAGCTGCATTCATCATGTAATGAGGAAGCAAGAGAAATTCACGTCAACATCCTTAGAGTAGGAAAATAGACAAGAATACAAATAATAATGCAAAGTGTCATGCATTCAGGTTTCTTCGATGTGTTGGAGTGCGGTAATCACCTTTTTTAGAATACACTGTCCCTTTTCATATCCACCATACTATTAGACAGAGTGTAGGATTCACCGGTTGCGCAGAGTGAATGATGATGCTGATCAAGCACATTCTCTGACACCTGCGTCACTATTATTACTCTCTCGTGCGGTGCTTCTGTTAACTATTCTATTCAAATGCCTAGCCCTGCTTCACTACGTGCCATTCACTGGCGCTTCACCTCCCCCCACCTATCTGTACACCTGTGTGAGTACACTGCTTCCAACTGATTGCACTCCTCGTGTATTTGAAAGTGTTGTGGATACGTAGTTAATCCATTGGGTGTTCTACACTTAACTTCTCGGTGATTGTTAGTAGGATGTACGGACAGAGACAGTTATTATTCATATGGCAACTTACAAATAGGTGTGCATAAGAGCTGAGTGTGCAGCGGTGGCTGAAGAACGCCCTGTCTCATGAAGTCAATCTGTGCTATTGCAACACTGGTGGAAGCATGCACAGCGTATTTGTGATGAATTATTCTCAGCATGGGAGACTCATTCCAACAGTTTCCAAGTAGTCTGCTCTGCACTGTTCACTGGTCAGAGACATCGAGAATGAGCGGAATATTCTTCACGAAAGAAAACATATTGTGAAGGAACTAGGGCTGTTGAATGAGATGAGTAACGGGTACTGTGACTGAAGCCACGAAGCCTACTACTGTGTAGTCAAATAGTCATCACGACACGAAGCGCTGAATGAAAGGCCCGTGTATGCACGTGAAGTCCTAATGAAGTCACACTTGCGAGTGCACACTTCCAAGTAAACTCTCCAACACTCATGTTGGTTTATTTGAAGTCTGTGACAGGTTGTCGATTGTCTTTATGTGCATGTGGCATCCACACCACTTTGACTGCCAATGCCATCATTTGACGCCTTCGATCAGTGCATTCTACAACCTACAACACTATGGACATCACTGTTCATTGTGGCGTTACACGCGTAAATGTTACCCATGGATTTTATTTAGGCTCGAATGAGTCACTCACCTGTTTCAAACTGAGCTGGTGGATTTCACAACGGATTCTGTAGATTTTGTTGTGGGTGGAATCTCCAGGTACAGTGAAGCTTGCAGTTCCTTCTTCACTACGAACAGACCACTTCAATTGACGAGATTTGACCACTGTCTGTGTGGTAACTTCGTACACTTTGATTGTTGGTGTGAAGATGGGGTTGGGACTTGTGCAACTGACTACCTCAGATGGTCGGACTGTGAGGCGCAGTACCTCCTCATTAAATTCACCCTCCACTGATGATAAGTCAGCATAATCCGATTTGAAGGAGTCGCCAGATACACATAACTCGATTGGCTTCGATGATCGTGTCAGTTTATTTCGATCATCATAATTCACCTTCCGACTTAACCACTGTCCGTAGACTGGCGATTTCATATTTGGCAGTACAACATCCGCCCGAACAGTGCACATCAGGTGAGCTCGATTGTGTTCAGGCAACAGACGTAGTCTGAATTTGGCGTGGTGAGTGTGTTTGCTTGTTATATTGCTACTGTGTTGTGGAATTAGGTCATCTGATCTGATCGCCTTCATGCTGGAATGCTTGTCTCCACTGATCAGCGATAGTGAAACAACGGTCTGAATCATTCTCAAACCCCTCACTTCCTCGTCATCGTCTTCACAGAACAGCCGAAATAGTGAAACATGACAGTGAGCTTCGATCTCTTCTCCAGGTTTATAGCAAGCGGAGTCATCATAGTTCTCAGTGGGTTGTGGTGAGTGCATACTGATGACTGAGACTTGTGGTTTCTCAGTTGGATGGACAACACAGAGTGGCGTTGTGGAATGGTAGGTGGCATTGACCAGTGTATTCGATGCCTTGTATGTGACAACACAGCTGAAATAACCATAGCTCTCAGTGTCTGTTGGCTTTACATCGAGCGTGTAGTGGATAGGCCACCTGTATGGTGGATAAATATACGTTTTCGAAGACCAGCTGTTGTCATCTGAAACGATGTGACGACGGCTCGTCGGAAACGTGACGATCGATTGTGAGGTGTTCGAGACTGAAACACTGCTTGACCACGAATTGCGTATCCACGTGATGTGCAGTGGCTTCGAATATCTCGCAACACTGGAGAACACTGCTGGACACCCGAGAGTTGTAACGGAGTTCGGAACGATCGGATTGGGTTGAATGATGACAGCAAGTTTCTTCTTCCGTTTGACAGTAGGTGGAATATGACCCACATTGTATTGGTGTTGCCATGAAATACGAGACAAGTGTGAAGATGGTGATGAGTCAAACGCAGGTGGCTGAACCTCTCTCACTGATTCAGGTGGATTTCTGAAGAATGACAGATCCACTTGTCGAGGATGAATGCTGGTCGACGGGAGTGTAATGGAGTCTCTCAGCGTCAACTGGTCGCACTGTCTGCTCAACTCCTCAAAGGCGTAGTGGAGAGGCAGATTTTTCAACATGAATTTGTTCCGACTAAGGTAACGATGAAGTATTCTCTTTATCCTGAACTTGCCATTCTCTGAATCGCCCACTTCGAAACACTTGATAAACATCCTCACGGAACCGGTGTCATCGTCATCAGAGTTGTCAGTTTCTGGTGTGTAAGGTGGTACTCTGCCTCGTTTGTGCAATCCGTCAGGTTGAGTCCCTCCAATTCGATGAATCGGCACCTCCGACAGGCGTTTCACATTATTTTTCCAACCATCGCGTTCCTCAGTATCCTGAGATTTGTATGATGTCTCTGATCCACATTGGTGTCTACAACCGGCTGTTGATGGTTTTCTCTTGACACCAGTTCCGACGGGTTCCTGATAGGCACGTTTCCTGGGTTCGTGTTGTGAGTCATCATATGACTGTAATGACTCCGGGACATCCGGAACATCCTCAGAATCTGGCATGTTGACGTTCCGCTCATCAGTCCGGTCTCCAGCTTCACCTGCACCAACAACACCCTCACCTCTTCCCTCCTTCCCTTTCATTCTCTCCCGGTATGTGTCAAGTTTGGAATCAGTCTTCACAATATCTGCTTCTCGTGTTGCACCAATTCCGCGCCCGTGAACACCTGCTCGAGGGCCGACTTCTTCAGAATCAGTGACATCCCACTCTGTGAGGCGTCGTCGTCTGTCACCCAGAACTTCACCAGATTCGTCACTATCTTCTTCGGAATCTTCCTGCTTTCGCCATGGGTGAGGAACTTCCCCTCCTGCATCAGGATGTCGTCGCTTTTTCCACCGGTGCACCTGTGAGGCCACATCACTCGAGTCGGGTTCACCAGGTTCCTGAGTCTGTTTCCATCCTGCAGGTGTGACCTGTCCACCTGCCACTTCATCCTCACTCCATTCTCCCACATCGGAAATCTCTCCTGGAATCCTGGTATATGGAGGTGCTTCATGGTCTCTCTCGTCATCCGAATATCCTCGCTCCTGCCTCTCTGTCTCCTCCTCTCGCCTCCTCTTACCCTTCTTCTTCTTCTTCTTCTCCTCCTCCTTCATGCGTCTCTGAACGAGTTCATTCTGGTCATTCTCTAGAATGTCGGAATCAGGCTCACCACCATATTCCATGTCTGTTGAAGCTTCACTCCGACTTGTCTTCCCATCTCGTCGCGTGTCGAGACCTTCCTGCTCCTGCGCTTCTTCATCCAGTTCCTCGTCTCGCAACACACTGTCTGAGTCAATATCTGGGTAGCCAGCATCACTTTCCAGATCACCACTCTGCATCAACTGTCCTTCTGCAGGTGTCGTATCAACACGCCAGTCAGTCACATCCGATTCTATTTCACGCGACTCGTCATCTCTCCAATCGAACTCAGTCCCACTCATCACTTCGTTGTCGAACAGAATAGTAGCTTCCACCAGTCCCACACGCACCTCATCTCCACAACGACAGGTCACACTACACTGGAATACATATGTCCCACTCCGCGACAGGTGAGTGAGTCGGAGTTCCGCACCTCTCTCGTAGATCTTCACGTGCATATCGTCCGTGAGCACAGTCAACTGAGGTATGGGGCCAGCCAACCACCTCCAATGAAACACAGGGTCTGCACAGCCGTCTTTCATTGAGCAACGCAGAATGGATGACTGAGAGTAGACCTTCGAGTCGTCGGAGCTCCATGTGATACCATTTGGGGCTGGGCAGTAGGCAGTGAATGTATAGTGAGGTGAGGTTAGTGTCCCTTGCTCATCGGAGGTCTCACATCGAAACTTCACCGACTTCATGTTTTCACTGACCTCCCTTGTAATATTCACACGGCCAAGTATGATGTCAGTGCCTGTGTTTTCCTCGACAAAACCATCATCTTCTTCACCCAGACCGTCCAATTCAAGTCTCAATTGAGTGAGCGATCTCCTGACGGGATCTGTTGACCACACGACACACTGGATTGTCAGAGTATTTCCCTGAGAGATGTTCTTCACATGTGCGAACTCCCACTTCGCTGTTGAAGAGTGCGTACGAAAGGCCAGCAGTAATTGCTTTGCTTGACCGGGGATTGTTTTCAGTGCGACTGACCCTGTGATTGGTTTTCCGTTCTCGGTATGGGCAGTACAATAATAATGACCACTGTCGAACTCCTGTGTTGTGCAAATGAGAATAGAGGAGGTTGAGTTCAATGAATAAGCTGTATTGTCGGATATAACATCACAAATGAAGCACAGTCTGTCACACGTCAGTCATAAAAGTCTGTATGCGTGTGTGTGTGTGTGCGTCCGCGTGGTTGGCCAAATTTATTCTCCGTGGATATCCATGTATATGGAGAGGAAAAGAGAAATGCTCATTCTGACAAATAATCAGCCTCTACGTCAAAAGAAGTAATAGGCTCACGAATTTTGGTGGTTATTTTGTAAACGCAAGAGGCGGATGTACAACGTACACAAATATCTAGTCAGTCTAAATGTGGTTTGTGTAAAGCCGGTTGGTGTTGTTTGCAAGTATCCGTCCCCTCACATTACTCATTATTTATTGGCCATTCCAATAATAGGACACGAGTTGTTTCACTTACTCAATATTCAGAGTCCACAACTGAATGGCATTTCGAGTTAACAGCAAGCTGGATGCGCTTTGTCCAGTCATGACGTGAATATTATCTCTGCTAAGACACAACCGTCCACTCTGATGTCTGATTTACAGTCAGCTCATTAGCGGGATGATAGACATATTTTGTTGGTGTATGTTTTACTAGAGCATGAGGTATGCTGCACACAAAGTAGACCCGTGACTCACACCTCTCAGCACTTGGACGTCTGAAATCTCACGCTGTTTACTCGAGCTTGTGCGACTGAGCAGTGTCACCAGCTCTCCCACAACCAGCGTGTCACATAGACAGCTGAATGGATGAATGTTCACACTGAACCTGCCCCAACTGCGAATGGAAACAAAGCCGCATCAAATCTTGAATGCATTCCGTCTACACGTCTATTTCTGGACCAGGTGTGTTCATGGATTGTGTGAGCAACTGTTGTCACACTAGTCACAGCAATGATATACATCAGTAATCATATTTAAAAATGGAGTGTGATTTAGCATGCAATGATTTGAAAACTGACATGTGTCATCACAAACAGTGTTTTACTCTACAACCTGGTAGTGTGATGTGATGGAGGGCAAGGCAGTAACCTCAGATGAGTAATTTTATCAACTTCTAAATTGCTCAATCGCTACAGTGTAGGCATGACATAGGCTGAACATTAAGGACAGTTCTAACCGTTTCACATTGGACCGACTAGTCATTATTCCACTCCTAAAGGACACACAGAAGATAACTAGTAACCACAATGTAAACACGCGGATGAAGTGTTGACATCAATTTCATTTGTTGTGTTCTTTTCTTCAATTAGTTTGTTGAATGTTTTGATTTGTGTGATTTTTGATTTTTTTAATGCCGATTCTCTAGCTTTTTTGGATGTTTCAACAACAATTATATAATCTTTGTCGTTGACCTCTATCGACAGAACAAAGTGGGTGATCAACCTCTCATCAAGGGAACTAAGCTCTAGTGAGATAAAAGTACTTGAGGAAGGACTAAATTTCAACGTAACAGTTAATAAATTAAAAGCAGAGGATGTCATTCCTGACATAGAAGTAGCACTAAGCTCAATAGATTAGACGACAGCAGAAGAGGTTCGAGCACAATGTGCATTAACCCTGAAAAAATCAAAAGAAAACAAAATCAAACTTGACAACATCAGAAAGACTAGCTTTAATTAGTCTAAAGCAAGATAAAAACATCGTCATTACGAAAGCTGACAAAGGAAACTCGACAGTAGTCTTGGATAAATCTGACTACATCAAGAAAGTCACTGAACATATTGAGATGGGTCCATATGAGGAAATTAAGAAGCCTGTAGATACAATAATGAATAAGGTTAAAAAATCCACAGCGGAATCAATACGCAGAATGAAGCCGTCACTGGGTGAGTCAAAATGGTTTAATTTAATGCCTAAAACTAATAATGCTAGTAGAATGTATGGTACTATTAAAATACATGAACCAGGGTACCTCATACGACCAATAGTGCATTTTAGGAATACTCCTACTTATGAATTATCAAAACACTTAGCTCTAATATTATGCCCCTTTAGAAATCGCTCAAACTCTAGACTAGCTAATTCATTTGAGATGAAAAATAAACTAAATGACATTCAAATAGAGAGTGATGAAACAATGGTTAGTTTTGATATAACCAGTCTCCATACTAACATACCAATCAATATGGCCTTAGAAGCAGTTAAAAAAGAATTAACTGCAGACCCTGAACTCACTTATAGGGAGAAACTACCAAATGAAGAAATTATTCTAGGAATTCAGTTATGCCTCACATCTACTATCTTTAAATTCCAAGGCAAAATATCTAGACAAACTGAAGGTGTAGCAATGCGATGGATCACCAATATCCCCTATCGTAGCAGATGTATTTATGGATAGCTGGGAAAATATGGCTCTTAATACGTTTAATCTTACTCCAAAAATATGGTGGAGATATGTGGATGACATTTTCAAACACAGTGTTAAAATCAAAACATATCTCTAGCTTCTTGACACACATAAACTGACTAGTGGAGGGAATAAAAATCACATTTGAAGCCAAAAATGAACAAGGAGAATTAGCTATGTTAGATTGTAAAATAAAACGAATAGAAGAAGGCAAACTACACACTAGTGTTTATAGAAAACCAACGCATTCTAATAGATATTTAGACTTTAATTCATCTCATAATTTAACTGTTAAGGCAGGCTTAGTTAAGTGTTTAACAAACCTAGCACCAAGAAGACCTAAATAATGAAATAAAACAGATAGAAGAGGCGTTGGTGTTAAATAACTATCCTCTAAAATTCATTAGGAAGATTAGAAAAGGCCAAAATAAAAATAAAAATAAATGTGAAGTTAGTGATAATAACATAAATAAGAGAGAATATAAGTCATCTACAGTTATACCATATAAAGAGGGGACATCTGAGACCCTACGTAGGATTCTAAATAAAGCAGGAATTAGAGTGGTGGCATTTAAACCTACAAACTCACTCAGGGACAAGCTCTGTAGGTTAAAGGAGCCAGTGGACCGAATTAGACAAAATAATATAATTTACAAAATACCCTGCAATGACAGTGAGGTCGACTACATAGGTCAGACTAGTAGGTCAGGGGTAGTCAGATTGTCAGAACATAAGAATTTAGCTAAGGCAAGAATGGTTGACCCAGAGAAGATAAGTAATTTAGAAAAAAGCTCAGCAATTGCAATGCATGCATTAACACACAACCACACAATAGGGTGGGAGAGGGTTAAAATTCTAAAAAGTAATCTAGATAGGTGGAGGGAGAGAGGTTGATTACTGAATCCTCGTTCATCGAATCTACATCCAACACATCCAATAGGAATGATTCATCACTCATACCCGAAATATGGAAAATATTACTACCAATCAAATCAAGTGAAAATCAAGTGAAAAACAACGGAACTATATAAATGAATTTAGGAAGTTGTGTGATTACCTTGATATGATTATGAGCAATAAATTGTGCTCGAAACGTCATCAGTAAACATTACTGTATAACACTGTGAGACTTTATCAAAACAAAATTTGCGCACAATGAAAGTGAGTACACGCCAGGTTGCATTTGTCACCATGAGGAGATGACCAATGTGATTGCGTCAGTAAGTCGCCTTTCAGTCGTCAGAGTCTGTTGGTGAAAACTCTCATTGGTAGGAGTGACTTCACTCCTCTCGACTGTGCTATTGCTCATCTAGATCAGCCTGTTCAGTAATCGCTTACGCCAGTTGTATCGGACTAAGAAATACCTAGTTGGAATCAATATTCGCCAAATCAAACAGTCATCAAATAAATGGAGGTGACAAAGTGAAAGAAATCGGAAATGCTTTTCAATCAAGACCGAAGAGGCGACCAGGTATGGCGTTAAATAAATATACACATGTGTGGAATAACAACGACTCACGGTTGCCCCGGTGAAATAGACATCCACATGTTTGCCTTCACTGATGATAAAATACACCTTGTCATTGGAGCGAACATGTTTGTTTGACCACATTCCATAAGTGAAGCCAGAAGAGAAGTGTGACGATGCAGTGGAATCCACTTGATTCATACTCACATCGATGGCACAAATGGTGAAGTCATATGTCATCCAAGAAGCATTGACAAACCGGTGCAGACCAATCCTCTGGAAGCGATCCAACTGGTCAGTGGTGAACTGGCACTTCAGAAACACAGGCTTGGATTTGGAAGTGACGTCTAGTGGGAGCAGTTTGTTCTCTAGTTGAGACTGCTCACTGTCTATCGTTGTATTCAGATACTTGACACTTT